AGGGGGTCAGGCTAGATGATCTGTTCAGGTCCCTCCTGACCCTAGCTACTATGAAACTACTATGAAACTATGAAAACTTTATGTCCTGCCACAGGTACAGGTGAACACTGGCTTTGGAGTCTGTGATGGTTTTTATTCAGAGATTTTTCTCTGAAGGAAAGAGTTTAAAAGAGTTTACTTCTAGGTTCTCATATGCCTAAATTGGCACAGCTCCATGGACTGCAATGACCTTATGCCAATTTACATCAGTTGAAGACCTAGTCCAAATCACTACACTGCCCTGCATTAGTGGTGCTACACATTTGTTAGAATGGGTTAAGAACTGATAGACAATTAGGTGGGAGGGTGTTACCCTGACAGTGTTTTGTCTGTTCTTCAGGCTTAGATTCTGCAATGTCTCTCCTGCTGAGTAATATGTTACTCCATGATTAGTTCGTCTCATGGCTTAAATAAGGCAATCTGCAAGAACGAAAGAGTGGCAAAATTTGGCAATTTTGTAAACTAGTAGCTAGTGATGTAATTACTGGGTAACACTGAAACAGAAAAACACAGACAAAAGGGTGATTTAGGGGAAAATAATTTTGCGAATAATTTAGTTACAATTTTGCCATATATGCTCTCCCTGTGTTGTGAGATATGTATCTGAAAGTAAGTTTTAGCTTAGTTTTAAGTTCTTGAAAAATAGAAATGCACTAATCTTCAAGAAAGAACTTCTGAGTCATTTATGCCCCTATGATACACCACTAAGTGACTACATGATGCACTGAAGGGTCTTTCCTGTGCTACACAGAGATATAAAACAATCTGTCCTTGTCATTTCTATATATTAAAGCTGACTCAGTTGTCTCCTTATAATTGCAGTTATTCTGCTCCTGGATTCATTCAGAGATGCTCTTCCCCTAGGAGGATGTGGTGGAGTTAGAACTGGTAAACCCACATCACCATTGCTCTTGTGCTTATTGGATGTTGGTGTATTAGCAGCTCTTGAAATGCCACACAGCTCTGAGAGTTTGATTTCCTTCCCAGAATTTGGATTTGTAAGGTTTTTCTGCCCATAACTATTGACCAGTGCAGCACAGGAGGTTATGCTGCCCTGAGTGAGAGAACACTGTGACAATGGGAAGTTTCCACTGAGTGTCTTCAGTTCCAGTATTTGTTCTCTGGCTTGAGTCAATGCTTCAGTTAGTCCATAGCGTTCCTCACACTCCCTGCGCACTGTTTCCTGGAGAAGAGAGTTCTGAAAGCAGAAAGAAACACAAGCTTTGTGAAATACCAACAATAAAAAAGACAGATGCTACATGTGTTGAACTCCTCAAACTGAAGGTACTGAGGATCAGAGGATGTATGGTACCACACAGGATAAGGAAGGAGATCTAAAACCATAATAACAATGGCCAAAGCAAACCAGATACCCACATTTTTAGTTTTTCACTTGGGCTCTGTTCTTTTTTCACAGTTTTATCTGTCAAAACAATTGCCCTGTAGGTGGTGCACAATGAAGCATAACCTGACCTGGTGGCAAGTGAAGAGTTGGTTTGAGATGACTACATACACCTAAATACAGGTATTTGGCTCACAGTCTTCTGTCTAACAACTTGGTGTAGGGAGCCTGGATGGACAGCACAGTATATATATATTTTTTGCCAGAAGACTTCTACTATTTCAGCACTTAGTGGTTAAAACTTCCATATGCCATCTCGCAGTCTGTTTCCACAGTTAAAACTCATGCTAAATATTTCCCGTATTCCTGCTTAGTCACACTACTGGGGCACTTGTATTTTATTTGCAGTCTTTGCATAAGAGCTGTTCTAAAAGGTCACAAGTTCACTTCTGCCTCAAATTGTCAAATAGCAATTTACTAAAAGCTACAATGGAACATCTAATCTGCTGAATCCATAATGCATCTCAAGAGTTATCAAGAAATACGTTTTTCCTACCTCAGCTTTCATTAAAAAGAAAGTAGTGCATTTATTATCCTCTGTTATGATGCTTATATTATTTCCAAGGGTCTCTGAATCAAAGAATTTGTCACAAGGCCTGCCAACTTTCCCCATCACTGCCGCTATGCATTGTGTCATTCCAAAGCCAATGACCTATGGTCTTAGATTTGGATCAAATGAAATGGCAAACCATGAGTCTCAAAAACTCATCACAACTGGTATCTTTGAAAGCTGCTCAAAGGGCAACATTAGCTGTAATGCCAGACTTTCACTCTTGCCAACCCTCCCTTCATAATTGTTGGCAGAAATGGGAAACAGAAAAGTGAGTTATCATGAAATTACTGTTGTAAATCTGCCCACACACCTTGAACACAGGGAGAAGGGGATGCCTGTTTGTAGAAAAGAAGGAAAGACAGTGGGGAAGGAAGCTGAGATACAATTAATATACAACTGATGCCACATACAACAATCCCAAAAGTGAGGTGTTCGTAGAATAGCATCAGATGGAATGGGAAGGAGGCCAGGAGCAGGGAAAAGAATAAAAGAAAAGATGGGGTCACAAAGAAGCAGCAAAAATAACCAGCTCATTTCCCTTGCTTGCCACATACCACAACTTACTGAGGAAGAGCCAAGATGAAGGGAAAAAGAAAAGGGAAAAAATGAAGGGAGACAAGTACTTTAGTGCTGTCAGCTACTGAGATCAGAAGGCAGACAACCAAAAAGTAGAAAAGGAAGAAGGCAAATAGCCCCCAACCCCCCGATTCTCAGATGGCTGCCAGTTGCTATCATTAATAACTATCAACATCTATGTTAGGCTACAACTAGCCAGTGATTGGTGAAATCCTGGGCATCTGGAATCCTGGGTGTCTGGGATCCTATGTTGCAAGCAATCAGATATAAGCAGGGATCTGGGTTTTCTGTTTCCCCCAGAAAAATGGAGTAACCCATGGATTTTACCTTTTACTGGAGGCAAACATGGATGTCTTATTTTACTGGAGAAACCCATGGATTTTGCGGTTTTGTGACGAGCCCCCTGCAGGCTGGCAGAGCTCCAGCCTGCAGGGGGCTGGTCAGGAGCAGGAGGAGGGCGGTCAGGCAGGGGGCGCCATGGCCACCAGACAGCCTGAAGCAGCTCTTGCAGGTAAATTGGGGGTGCAAACTGAGGCCCCCATAAGGAGGGAGGAAGGAACGCAGGGAGTTGAGCAGGGCTGAGGCTGGGGCTGCTGCCCAGCTGGGCAGTGCCAGGGCTTGGGGCCCGGCACTGCAACGTGCAGCTGCAGGGCCCTGGTGGGGAGTGGGACAGTCCTGCAGGTGGCTTGTCTGGGCGGCGGGGCTGGCCCCCTGCCGCTGTGTACATTCCCAGGGAGGCAGGGGGACCCATGCCCCCCCACAGCTGTGTGCAGGACGGGGGCTGCATGCTTCCCACTTCAGGTTTGGGCTCCCACCCTGATGTTCTACCGCAGAGCCTCCACAGCCCAGCGTTTGTGACGCACTGGCGCTGCAGGGAACAGCAGATCTGCACAGAAAGCGCCTGCCACTGCAAGCCCCATGCTGCCCGGGTCCCTCATGCGCAACCCCGTGCTGCCACCCCCACCGAAGTCATATGCTCAGGGGACACCTTGCCAGGGCAGCGCAGAGCTCGCAGTGGCAGGCAGCTTCCTGTGCAGCTCCACTGTTACTGGCAGCATTGGGTCCCATACTCTGGGCTGTGGAGGCACCAGGGAAGGGCAGCAGGGCAGCAGCCTGCAGTGGGCAGCCCACCCCCACCCCACACACATATGTGGGGGTCCCTCATATGTGCCCCCCAGGAGTGCATGCCATGGTGGGGAGCAGCCGCCCCCTCCCGTCTGAGCCCACAGTGGGCAGCAGGCGGCAGCAGTAGGGAGGAGCTGGGCTCTGCTCTGCTGCAGCAGCTGCCACCTTCTGCCAGGGGCAGTGGGCTGTGGACCTGGGTCTTTGGCCCCCTAGCCCTGGCAGCTGGGAGACCCCTCCAGCAGAGCTGGGGGAGCAGGAGCCATGAGTGGGGGGTGAGAGGCACCAGCAGGGCTGGGGCAATGGGGGAGTGAGGGGCACCAGCAGGGCCAGAGGGCTGTGGGAAGGGACTGAAGGGCACCAGCAGGGCTGGGAAGCTGGAGGGGGAGGTGGGGTGAGGGGTACCTGCAGAGTCAGGGGGCTGTGGGGGGGAAATGGGGGGCACCAGCAGGGCTGGGGGCTTTCATTTTAATCACAGATTTTGTGGATTTAATCAGAGAATTTGTGATTTTTTTTATCAGGGAAAATCAGGATCCTTGGTTATATGTGATATTAACTGAACTGAGCCATGTCAGATGGCTTTGCCTTTCAAGTTAAAACTGTGGTGAGTGACCCATATTGTGAGCTTAGGCATTCTTGGGACTGGAGTGGCTAGTACTAGAACTAGGAGGGAACTTCATTAGCTAAAACATGAAATCAGAGCAATCTAGCTAATTTTCAAAAAATAAAAGTAAAAAAATAAGAGAGATAGAGATTTTAAAAGCTGAGAAAGCAAACACAGCATGAAGAACATGGGGCAGCCTCTGATGGCAAAAAATGATAAATGAAAACAGGTTTAAACTGGACAGAAGAAAAGACCACCGGGTTTAACTACAAGATTTCTACTGGCAATATTCTAACTCCAGTCTTACAGAACCATTTTCGTAGAGGCAAGAATGACAACTTTTGTTGTAGAATTTTATGAAGAGTGTATGAATAATCCAGACAGTGAAAAATGCATGCAAGCCAAGCAGATTTAGCCAAGTTTATTACATTGCCATGCCTGGATTCACGTGCATATGTACATAAAGGAGTAGTATGCAAACATCTGTTTACAGAAAATGCATCATTATTTTGAATTTTGAAAAATAAATATTTAGGATTCTTAGAATTAATAAAGGCATTGGCTGTTTTGCTTATTTCTATTGGTCAAGTTGGTCACATCATTGTGAATAAGTAATTTAGCACATTAGTGCTAATTTACTCATCATAAGCTAAATGATTGAGAACTGCTCCTGAAGTTTTGCAAATGCATTCTTTAATCATTATTTTTTGCTAAATAGTTTAGGCAAACATTTTCCATCTTGGGATTGTTTGGAAACTGTTTACTGTGATGATAGACCAAATTTATAATATTGTTCCTAATCCCTAATAGGATAACTGAAACTCTTCGCAAATGATGGAATTTCCCAAAATAATGTTACATGGAAGCATTACTAATACTGTACTTCTACCTTCCTGTCTAAGACAAACAGGGGAGATGAGATGGAGAGACTAAAGGAAGAGAAAAAAACAACAGAATTAACTTGATTCAAAGGCTAGGTACAGACATTCAGAAAGCTCAAGGCAGAATTGATCTAAGTTATGTGGTTTTGTGTAAGCAGTGTAGTTTAGATCAGTGACGAACACACATTTGCCCTTTGGTGGCGGGGGGGGAGTGGGTGGGCGGTGGGAAGGGGTGCAAATCTTAGAATGGATTCCACCATTCTTAAACCAGTTTAAGTACTGAACTTCTGTTTTGTTATGGGTATAGACCAGTTTCTGATCACTTAGTGTAATGTCTGTACCTGGTCAATAAGGTCAAAGCACTCACAGCACTCTAGATAGCTAAAAATTATATATGTGTACTTTCTCAAGGTTACTTGTCCACGTAAGTAACTTTCTGTTTGCCACAGAAACGTTATATGAGCATGGATGGGAAGTGGTCCATAAGACAATTTCTCCAATAAACTGTGAAAACTGAGCGCCCCTGAAACAAGAGAATAACAAACAAATAGCAAGTAGACAGCACTCTAATACATGCAAAATATACCTTGGTTTGCACACTAGCCATTCCCCAACTGTAGGAAAGAGCTAAGTTGTAGGCAGGGTCAGATTCATGTAGCATCTTGAGAATGAGACTTGTAGTTTCTTTTTCAGGCTGCATGCAAGACTGAGATGGTGAACTGCTACAACGAAGCAGCTAAGGTCTAATAAATAGCATAGAATCTCAGTGACCTTTCTTTGAATGTTTTTAAGAGAGGGCTACTGAAATCAGTGAGGCCTGAGAACTAAAGATCAGAATGGTCAAGGTGGAAGATGACATGCCCAAACCACTGGGTTCCTTAGAAACCATTTTTTCCACCTGATGAAAATTCAGGCACATTTGAATCAAGGTAAACAGCACTTCTGCTTAAAAGCTTTGTTGTTAAAAATATTTCTTGTGAAGATCTGAGGCTATTACTTCTGAGGGACATGCAGGTTGTTTTCAAATCCAGAAAAATCTCTGGGGAAACAAAGGCTTTTTCACTAAATAGCTTTATCTAAAAGGTAAGAACCTGACACCTATTTTAAAGCATATGTAGAAGCAGAATTTGATGAGGTGAGACAGGAAATAAATTTACTGGAAGAAGTTATACAAAGTCACGAACAATGGAAGAACAGCATAATTAGAGGCTTTATTCAACCTATCTAACCTGTGTGCCATCTGAGTGCAAAGTAGCTGTTGCTCAAGTCACATGATAATATGTATAAAAAATAATAAACCCCTTACAAAGTGGTTCTTTAACTGTTTCTTTCCACAGAAAATTTATAGGAAAAAGTCAGGGCTAACTTTTCTTCCTCATTCCCAGTGAAAGGTTCAAACCTGTTTTAATTCTGCAAACCACCAAAATTCCCATTCTCTTTCTCACTGGTATTTAAAGCTAACCCCACACTTTTCTGTATGGCTATTCTGGAAGCATGGATCACATTTTAGAGCAGAAAAAGGGGAATTGCCTGAACCGTGGGAATCACTGGCGTATTATTAGTAGTAGTAGTATTAATAATACTCATTATCATCATCTGGTAATTATCATGCTAAATTAGATTAAATTTAGATTAAACTAAATTATCATTTAGTCTAATAAATTTCTTGTTCAGTATATAAAAAAGCAAGTCTTTCAGACTTGTTTTTCCCCATTGTATGCCAAGTACTTAACAACTGCTGATGATAGGAATATTCAGAAGTTTTACTCCTCTTCACATTTGAGACTACTTTATGCACTCCTATATTGGTGGTCTGAAATTTATTCTTATAAATTATCCTTAAATTGAATTACATTAGTTATAAATTATTGTTCTTATAAATTATCTTAACTCTCAATAAATTATTATTCTTGTAATTTTTTCCTGTATATTTATGACTGCTGTGTGAAACATTACTATCATGTGCTTTTCATTTGCACCCTAATACATCTCTGGCGTGTTGTGAGGCATGAGGATGAAACATTATATTAGTTGAATTGCTTGCCTTAGTGTGTCTTCTATACATTTTGAAAAAAATAATCTTCATAAAATGTGCCATTATTTGGCCTTACCGTTCATTCAGTTATAAAAAAAATGTAAAATCAGTACGCTACAGATATGCAATTTTTTTAGACATTAAATGTACAATTTTAGATTTATAAAAGCTGTGTGTTCATAACAATAATAGACTAGGACATGCGTCTCTTACTAAATACAGCAGGGTCAGTTTCCTACCTCTTCTTCAGCCTGACTCAAATTCTGAAGCAGCTGGGTTTGTTCCTGGGTTATTTTTTCCAGTTCATCTGACTTCTTTTTAATTTCTTTCCTCATACGCTCCAAAAGCGAATCATTGCTCTTTTGTTCCTTCTTAAGCTGAAACTCAAGTTCAGTATTCAGTCTTTTAAGGCTTTGAATTTCTTTTTCCATATCTCTGTTCTTTTCTGTCAGTTTGTTTTGTGCTGCTTGTAGTTTCTTTTCAAGAATTTCCACTTCTACACTTAGGCCATCCGTGGCCCTGGATATTAATTCAGGGACCTGCAAGATATCTTGCATTAGTTTTCATTCAATGATTTCTGAAGTTATGAAGACTTATATATCTGACAAAAGGAGGCTTGAAGGACAATGAGAAAGTGGAAACATGTGGGTCCTAAGAGGTATTAAAATCAATACTACTCTGGATTTATACAATACTTACATAGTACCCATAGAGGAATTCATGGTTCTATCCAAACTTGAGCACAGAGACAATAAAGGGTTTGCCTAGAGCAGGGGTATAAAACTCACCTCCTCCCCTGGGTCAGATCCAGTACCATGGAGCTCCTTGCAGGCTAAATCCAACATGGGACCTAAGGAAGCAGTGGTGGCATTGCAACTCTGGCTTTGACTTAGAGCATGTAGCAGCATCTCCAGTTCCTGTCTTGGGCCCTGTGCCACAATTGAGCTGCCACTGCTGTGTGCCCTGTTTCAGAGCCTGAGTTGCCACTACCACATGCCCAGTGCCAGAGCTGGAGCTGCAGCAGTGTGGAGAGGCAAAACAGCTGAAGAGTAACCAGGGCTGTGTCATTCTTCCCCTGCCCTCCTGCCACACTGATCTCCCTGTCTACCTACATAAGGAAACACAATCTAAGGAATTAATTTTCACCTTGATATATTTTCTTTCAAAGGGTGCCTACAGATGTTAGGGCCGCACTCTAACTCATGGCGCTTTACATAAAGTGCCATGAGCTAGAGCTCCCCCGCCCCGACGGACATTTACCTGTTGGGTTGGGCGGGGGTGGAGCGGTTTGGAGAAAGCCTCCACCGGCCCTGGCCAGTGGGTGGGGGCACTCCGGCAGCCTCCAAGGAGGCTTCTGAACCACCCCTCTCCCTAGCCCCACCATTCAGAGTAGCCAGGAACCTCCTCCTCCTCCCTGCTCCCTGACAGCTGAGGGAGGCAGGGCTGAGCTGATAGCACTAACCCACCCACACCCTCTGCAAGAAAATTAACCCTGGAGGGAATACAAGTTCCCTAAGGTGCCCCAAATCAATACCTGGTTTGACCAGAGTTATTTTTTTTTGTCTGATTGGCTATTTTAAAAGTGCTCCGCAGCTGTACACGTATGTTAAGTTATGGCTGTGGAGTGCTTTCAGGGGCCTGATTGTACAAAAAATGTCACTTGTGAATGCACCCAAAGTTACATATCTGCTCTGTTATCATCAACTTTCTTTCAATTTTCCCATACCTTTTTCTGTAACTCTTCCTTATCTTTTTGATACTTGCTGATTAATTCTTGGTGTTTTTGTCTTTCAGTGTCTAGTTTTATCCTAGCTTCTTCCTTGAGTATGAGAATCTCTTCTTTGTGTTGTGCTTGAGATTTAGCTAGGTTAGTTTCAATCTAGAAAATACATACATTTATTGACTTTTCTTACCACATTTTCATACTCAAGACATTTAAGTCCTTGCAGTATGGAACACATCAAGAGGAATGTCAGATCCAAAATTAAAAGAGTAGTCTGCAACCCCTCAGCTGAAGGCAACCTTGCCACCAGGTCTGTGTGCTGAAAAATAAGTTGTTAGCCTGAGAACTTTGCTTAATCTCACCTGCTATGACATCCCATGGGAAAAGGAAAGGATCCAAGAGGGTGGGGCAGTGCAATCATACTCCTTTTGGTGGTGCTGCACCTGAGCCATCAGCTTTCATATGCCTCTGGAGCCCAGGGGGTGAGTGCTGCTGCTGTTGCTTGTCCTCTCCTTTCCCCTGCTTCTGAATTCAGCAAGGAGTGGGGAGAAGGGGAAGGGCAAACAGGAGAAGCATTCACCTCTGCACTCTGAAGTCACATGAAAGCCAGAGTTCCAGCCAGCCCCAGCCCCAATCAGCTGGTGAGCTCAGAGCTCACTGTTCAACCAGAGCTCTAGTTGGAGCCTGTGCTGACCAGGCCATGAAGTCAGAGCTCACCAAGCATGCATGGCATAGGGTGCACCCCAACTGCCCCATTCCTGAATCTGTTAGTACATGGGAAGAAAGGCCCATGTGAATAGCCATGACTTAACCCGTTTATAAACATCTTGAATTCCACTGAAGATGAATCATGAAGATCTTGCAACACAGGTAAAATGTGATCTAAGCAAAAGGCACCACTAAATTAATGGTGTGTGTGTTTAGCACTTGTATTTTGATATGTTCTAGTGGTTTGGAGATTGATTGAATAATCTTAACATGAAATGAAGTGTGAGGTAGATCACAGATAATGGTTGTTAGGACAAAATATTTTCCCTAACTGAAGAAAAAGAAAAAGACTAGCACACTGTGATAATATTACATTATAAGACCCTAAGCTAGGTACTTCCAATAAGGTAATATTATACTGGGAATGCTATTCTGTAGATATTAAAAATATAAAATGCTAACATTACTTTCCTATATACATATATTTTTTTGGTTCAACCTGCCCCACTCAGCTTTGCCAATGCATAATAATTTATCATATTAAAAATGGTTATCTGAACTTATCCACATGGGTGAGATTGAGATGATACATGCCTTGTGTGTGCAAGCTCAAAATCTTCTGGATAATAGTACCTAGGGGTGCACGGATAAAAATTTTCTTGGCAAATACCAATGACCAATTATTAACCAGCCATTTTGGCCAATATAGATGTGATAGCTGATTTACAGGAATGCAACCTGGCAGCTTGGAAAGCAGCATCCGGCTGGTAAGTCTGGGGGGCGGGGAGGGTTGGAGAAGCATGGGGGAGGGAAGGGGCAGGGGGGGGATGCAGATTGAGCCCCCCACAGTGAGGAAGGGAGTGGGGTACAGACAAGAGCAGGTGCTGCCCAGCCAGGGCAGTGAATGTGACCCTGGGAGTAGGATGGAGCTATGAGCAGCTCATCCAGGGGAGCACAGGGAGGAAGGCTGGCTCCCCCCCACTGCACACACCTGCAAGGGAGGCATGGGGGGCATGTGCCCCCCCAGATTTATGAGCAGAGTGAGGGTGGGCTGCCCACTGTGGGCTCAGGGACAGGGGCTGCACTGGCCTCTTCCCAGCATGGGGGTTTTGCTGGGGCTGGGCTCTGAGCAGGTGGGGATGGGGTGGGTGGTGGTAGCGCTGGGAGGAGTAGCTATGGGGAATTTTGGGATAACTATAGCCCACCCCATAGTCACCCCTCCCCACGCCACCCCTGCCTGCCCCAAATGCAGCTCCGGTCCAGCCCCAGTGCTGAGAAAAGGCCAGCACAGCTCTTGGCCCCAAGCCTGCAGCAGGCAGCCCTCCCTTGCCCCATGGACAAACTGGGGGTCACATGCTCCACATGCCTCCCCTGGGGGTGGAAGCAGGGACAGAGAGCTACCCCCCTCCCCACCCTCTTGTGCCCCCCAGATGAGCCACCCGCAACCCCGTCCCATTCCTGGGGTTGCGTTCACTGCCCTGGCTTGGCAGCACCTGCCTCTGCCTCATTGACTCCTCCCTCACCATGAAGGCCTCAATTTGCCCCCACCCCCACACCCCTTCCTTCTCCCATACCCCTTCCCCCCACAGACTTACTGGCCAGATGCTGCTCTCCATGCTGCCGGTCTACATTCCTGGCCACATGCATGCTGCAGCTGTGCACATGCATGCAGTATTTATGGGTGACACTACTGGCTACACCATCCATAAAAAGCCAATTGCCAATAATGTTAATTTTCCTTTTATTGGTGTCAATCTGATGTGCCACTGATGTATCAGTGCACCTCTAGTAATGTCCTTTTGGGCTGTCTGATCACCCCAGCTATTCCCTCAGGTGGCTCCCACTTGCACTAAATTAAGAATCTATTGTAAGCATCAGCTACAAGGTGGATAAGGAGTATGCATCCATGCTGTAATCCTTACAAGGAATGACAATTACTATTATATGAAGCCTTTCTTCTATTATCATTGCTTCATGGAACTCAGCTATAGATGAGTAACAAGAACTTTAGTTCCCTCATGTTTAGATTACCTTTAAATTGTGGTAATTAGGTTTCATAAATAAAATAGATGAGCGAGGTACTTTGCAACTGTTTCAGAGCTGTTACTTCACTTTGCCTTCAGACTCAACAAGACAACACCTCATTGATGGACTGTGTAGAGGAAAATTTCAGAACAAAAAGAACCCAAATGTAAGTACCCACATTTTAAAATTTGCTAAATGATGATAAAATATATTAAAGGTCTATACAATTATGTTCATTTTAAAATGTTATTAAAAATAGAAAAACCCACCAGGTTTGCAGACTACTCTTTTATAATGATTTAATCTCATATGCTAAATATGAGCAAAAGCTTGTGAAAAAGCCCACTAAGAAACTAACAGAGAAGGTGCGAGATTAGGAGCTGTTTACTAAAGAAAGAATAAGTCAGTCAAAATTTTACTTTTTAAAAAATAAATCACTCAAAATTATGTTGCAGGTCATAAAATCAGCTTTAGCCTGGAAATAGTGTATATTCTAAAATTTTAAAACCAGTAAAATAAAAGTTGTTTTAGTTTTGATGGTGATAGTGGTTATGTGACATTACAGATATACAGACATTACATATAGCAAAGACATTTCCTGTTAGTTTATTAGATATAAAAACTAAGGGTCTAGAATTAGATTCACAGAAAAAAAAATGTTTGTTATAGCTAGTTTATTTTAGAAACAACCTTGCTGCTGCAAGTTACTTGATTATAGAGATTGAAAATAATATTGACACTATAAGACCATTGCAACTATTGTTCAAGCTTAAAAATGCGTTTTATTATGCATTGTTCACATCTAAGTAATATTTGAAATTAATGTAACTAATACCCATAATAATGAGTAAACTGGCAGTATTTTTAAAGAACTTACTCTAGTTGCCTAGTGACTATTAATTCTCTTCTAATAATTTGTGTATGACAAACAAATGCCAAAACCACAATCTAAAAATGTATTTAGAAAGTTTTTTGTTTATTTTTTTTTTTTTAAATTTGGTCCAAGGATTTCAACTTTTTTTAAAGAAAACACTTTATGCCAATGCAATGGCAAAATGACCCAAACAAACACTGACAATGTCATGTTAGTGATTCCTTTGTCTGATGAGAACATTTTTAGAGTACTTGACATTCACCACATTTTAATGGTTATGTTAGCAAAGACATAATTGCTCTCTCTCATTTGTACTAGTCTTTTATCTAGTTTTAATGGCAAGTTGCATAACAGATTGTGACTATACAGACAGTGTGACCTCAAACTAAAGTTATATCCTGTACTGGTTAAGTAAAGAGGTGTTATGACAAACTTAACTGATTTTTATTATTATTACCTCTAAAATTTGTTGAGACTAAAAAGAAGTTTCAGATATAGCTCTTACAGGGGACAAAATACTATTTGCCCTCTGCCCTTTAGCACTTGTTTATTGAATAATTGTGATATTCCTTTGCCAGGAACATGTTTTGTTCATGAAAAAGTGTTCTGGCATGAAAATGGGCTTGGAAATTTACCATGATTTCAAGTAGTTAGGTTTTCAAATCCTAATGACAGTTGGCATCCAATTCTTTTAAGCTCCTTTGAAATTTTCAGTTATGGCCCTCAGACTCCAGAATTTCATGATATGTGGCAGGATTGCAAACGTTTATTTGCCACATGGCACAGGGCCTCATGTTCAAGACATTACTATTGTAGTATTATGCAGATGGTGAGCATTTGATGAATATTTCTATCTCTGCATAGCAGTGAGCTCTGCACCTGTAGCTTTGTGTACTATATGCTAATACCTACAGAGCCTCTGCATGGAGAAAAATATACTTTTATAAATGGTGTTTCATGTATGTATGTGTATTCCTTAAATAATCAGCTGGAAATACTTCTCTAGCTACAACGCACTAACAGTGGGTTAAAAAGAGACTAAAAATCACTGTCAGACTATACAGACTGGAATAAATACTAATGAATAAAGACACTGAAATAATTAATATATGGAATGAAGGCAGTTTAAATCTGCAGATGTTTGTGCAATATTAATTTGTTTCCTGTGACATTTCTGGAATATCAAAAATGTTGTCAAAATGCAGCACTTCCCTCATCTGAAGCCCAGTGAAAATTCTAATGCAGCTTTTTGTCCTACATGTTTTCAAATTTTGTGCCAGGCTAATTGGGTTTAATGGCTGTGCTTTTTTTTTAATTTCTCCATGTGCTTGTGCATATTCTAAAAGTCTGTGTGAGCAGAAGAACAAAAATATACCCTCAAGAGACAGCATGGAAGTCTTTCTTCGAGCAGCACTAATTAAGAAGGCTTGAATGCTGCGCTGGGATGGGTATTTCAAAGGGCCTGCTGGAGAAGACATCTATGGATGTGGAGGGTCATACCACGACTTATGGGCTAAGGACCAACATTACACAGAAGCTGGTTTAAGTGATAAGAAACTGGTTTAAATCTGTAAGAGAACAGAAGTTCAGTGCACATAAACCTGTTTCAAAATGACTGAAACTGGTTTAAGATAAACCTGGTTGAATGTAGTATCAGACTTAACTGATATGGGCCAAACCAGTTTATGTAATGTCTGTTCCAGACCCCTTCCTGGTTTAAGTTAAGCCAGAGTCCCCCTGCATTCAAAATGCTTTGCAGCCCTGGACTGTGCTGTGCTGTGCTCTCTGTTCCAGAGAGCAGAGCTGGCTGTGCCCCTCTGCTGCCTAGCCAGTGCTCTGGCAGAGACTGCAGGCACAGCAGGATCTGTTTGTCTTCCCCCTGCCCAACCCCCACCCTCGCCACTAGCTGCTCAAGCAAGGATCCCCCCTCCCCCCCATTTCCCACAGCACGGACCCCAGCCCCATGAACCCTAGGCATATGGTATGCTAGTTAATGCTGATAGGTGCCCATGTATGTGTGTCTCCAATTTCACTGGGACAGGCAGACAGGACAGTGTCCACTTAAGGCTTTTTGGAGCTAATCAGCATGTCAGCTGGTAACGTTCTTCCATTCTTTCCTTGGAAAAAGCTGTTTAAGAAGAGATTGAACTAATTAGAGAGGCTTTTGTTTTGTTGATGGGCTGATAAACACTGTGTTATCAGCCCCCTGCTGGCAGCCTCACCTGTCAGGTTTGCAGACAGTATGAAGAAGCAGGGAGAAGGATATTGAAAATCTCAGTATCATCAACAGATACATGCACTCCATGCCCCCCCACCACCTTTGCCTCAGAGTGCTAACTGTGAGGTGGGGTCTGGCACCACTCCCACCCCTTGAGCAGGGAGTGGGGAAAAGCCTGGGATGGTGCAGGCATGGTGGGGTTTTACACCCCTCCCTAATCAGAGCATCCTGCCGGTGCCTGGCCATCCCCCCCACCCCAGCTCAGCACTATAGAAGGGAAGGCAGGGCTGCTCTAGCACTCCCCAGCTTATAGTCCCCCATCTTCTATCCTGAGCCACTGCAGGCATGTGCCTATATTTCTTCAGTCCAGAGGGAACGTCTGTGCACTTTCAAACTGGTTCAACCTAGACAGGTTAGACTAACCTGCAAAGATTGAATCAATTTAGGCTCAAGCTTTTTGAATGTCTGTCTCTAGCCCTACAGGATTATCTCAATCAATCTTGTAAAGTTTTTAAAGTTTCCCATATCTAGTTTTATATTTATTTTTCCAGTAGCAAGGCTGCCCAAATACTTACTTTAAATGCTGTTTTGCATTGGGGATGCTGGTGTATTGACTGTTTTAAATATATACATGTGGTGGCTGTGTTATAGCATTCCCTTATAAACAGGTGATTTTACTGTGTTCATGATAGGACTTGTATTTTTGCTCATATAATCTGATGTCATTGCAGTCCTTCAGTTAGGCCAAAAGGAGAATATTATTCCAGTCTGGATGTTACACATGAAATGGGGAAACTTGGAAAACCCACATTTTGTATTTTACTGATTCTTGATGCATACAAATCCACTAGCAGTGCAAAGGAAGATGTAGCCCATTATTCTTCTTTCCTTTCTATTCCCATTATTTCAGGGGTGGGATAAATATGGCCCACAGGCCAGATCCAGCCCACCAGGCCATTCTGTCTGGCCCATGGGACCCCTAAAATTTTAGAAAACATGTATTTGCTCTTGGCTACCTGCCAAAGACAACAGGAGAGAGGGGCAGTAGGACCCAGGGTGAGCCAGCAGCAGAAGGCAGGAGCCCAGCCTCATCTGTCCTGAGCCATTTCCCTGCTTCCTGCCCTCCCTATCCCCCCACTGCTCCAGCACCACGTGGCTCCTAGCTGCATGGCCAGACCAGGGAGCACGGGGTCCTGCTGGTATGGGGGTGTGTGCACACACACAGGCAGGGGCAGAGAGTGTGTGTGTGTGTGTGTGTAGGCAGGGGCAGTGTATGTGTGTGTAGGCAGGGGTACTCTGTGTGTGTGTGTATGTGTGTTCGTAGGGTGAGTCCCACATGCACACCCCACAATACACATATACCCACACCCCACCTTGGACTGCCATACATGCAGACCCTGACACCCACACCCCCTCACACACTACAGCCCCCCCTCCTCTCACACACATCCCCCTACAAATCCCATGCCTTCCCACACCCCATATATCCATACACACACCCACATGCTCCCTCTCCCCACATACCGACAGTCCCCCACAGAACTGAACCCACCCCCCACAATATACAAGCATAAGACTTCATTTTAAGCTATTGTGCAATCACCTCCATGTACACTACATAAACACATGTAAACCAGGGCAAAAATATTTTTTGAAATCAAATTAAAAAATGTTTTAGATGTTTCCTTTTAACAATATAATTTGGTATTTTTCTGGTTCCAAGATGGCAAAACCCATTCAGGAGTACTTCCAGGAGCAAGGAGAGGGATTTCTGGTGGCAAAGGTCAGGGGGGTAAGGGGCAGGACTTCCAGTCCCAAGATGGTGACCAGGGGGTGGGGACCTGTCGAGGGGTGGAGCTACCCATGCGGCCCTTGACAGCTTGCCAAAACTTGGTAAGCAGCCCTCCGCCCAAAATAATTGCCCACCCCTGAATTATTTTATTGTTATATATTACTGATACAGTATGGTCTGTAACTAAGCCTGGCTTTATTTTCTAAAGTACTGACAGTGTCCACTAAATCAGCTGTTACTCCCATGTTATATACTTTTATTAATTTCATTGGTTATCTTAAGTCATGGATCTTCTCTGTGTGGAGTACAAGTCAGGATCAGTAATATAAGGGGCTCCTGATGTTGTTCCTTTGTGCTATATACCATAAAGAAAAACACAAGGACAAGGGCTTTTTGCACAAGCAGTGCTCTTCTTTCAGTGAAGCACAGGTTTTGGGAGATGCGTGCAGAGCTGAGCGTACCTTTTTGTGTGTGACCTTCAATTACTTCCACACACAAATGGCTCTGAACATGTCTGGGAGCAAAAATGACACCTTATTCTGTGTATGATATACATAAAAAGTCAGTTCCTCATCCACGGTACTCTATCCCCGAAATCTGGGAGGTCTGCTGGGACCTTTCTTTCTAACCATCCGCTTCACTCATTTGCAACCTTTGCTTGCTTTCTTTCTACCTTCACTTCAACAGATTAAGAATGCACATATCTGTGTATTCAGAAAGTTTCTCATTCTGCCTCACACCTTCTCTAAAGGGTCACTGCTCACTACTATTCACAACTAAAATAAATATTTTGTGTGAAAGTGGCTTCTCTTGCATTTGTATGATTCAAGGAATAACATAACCAGTGTCTTGACACCTCCAGGAAAGGCCCAAGTATGAAATCACTTGAAACGGAACAGATAATATGCACAGTAATTTTACTTAAAATGTGCAAAATTAAGGACTTCTTTATGACACAGGAGAGGTTAATATAAAACAACACCAGGAGGGTCAGGTCAGCAGTAGGTGCCTTAAGGATACTGGTAAAGCTAGACATGGTATTAAAAGCCCCTAGTTAGTTGTGTGCTCATCTCTTACCTCTGTTAAAGTAAACCCTTAAACTGAAAATAGCTGCTTGCTATTGCTAGCACTGATTATGGATATCATATAACTAATCTGGAGGTTTATTCCTCTCCATGCATGTGCATAATTTGTACTGACATTAATGGGAGCCAGGGACTCAGACTAAACTTACTGGGCACTTCTACATGTGCAATTAATATGACCGAAGATACCACTTGTGTCTGATGGGACTATCTGGCAGTGTAGTAAATTAGTCTACTGTACCTTAATTGATGTGCATGTGTAGATGGCAATGATTTACTATGCAGCAAATTAGTCTACTGTGCAGTAAAACCTCTCATGTAGATGTGACTACTGTTTAGCAAAAATAATTCAGGAAGGGAATATAAAGTTTCCACTGTAATATCCACTTAACTCCCCTGTTGTCTTATGCAACAAGCATGATATTAATATTTATTTACTATTTTTTTCAATTGTATGGTAAGAACTTAACTTGTTTGTTTGTATAGCCTTAACCTGTGTATAGGCATTCTCTATTAAATATTTTTGTATACGGAATACTATTGACATATGTAGATAGAAGAAGTTAGAATCTGGTTTATTGCTCTGCTTCCTGGCAACTGACTACAATGAAAGAAAACAAATCAAAACCATGCCAATTAAAAATATAAAATCACCTTTTTCTTCCAGTTGTCTTCATTCTGCATCTTCTGTTTTAATGCTCCCTGCAGCTGCTCTGTTTTGTTCTGATGAGAAATCAACATTACCTCCCTAAAAACCACAGAAACTTGTAAGTAAAAGATACATTATGTCTGATTGATTTCATGCAGGATTCTTGCAACTTATCTCTGTGCATTGTTTGATAAAACAATGGTGCCCCTCAATCCTGGGAGGGACTTCAAAAAATTACAGAAATGTATTATTTGTAAATTGTATATTATTTGCATTACTATATATATGTGTGTGTGTGTTCGCAGTCTGATAGTTGCTTACTCAGCCACCTATATTAAAACACAGTGCAAATATCTTAGGGTGCTAACAAACATGGAGAAAGAAAAAAACATATTTTACAAGAAGCAGCAGCGCATTAGTTCAACTTGGCTCCACAGCGTCTGTATAGATCGGGTGCTTCAGTGGGGCTTTTTGGTGCTTATAGTTAAAGCTGATTCAATCAGCTATTATATAGAAGTGCCAAAAAAGCCCCAGTAAAGCACACTGCCTATACAGATGATGGGAAAGACAGGTGCACCTAATGTAATTTTTTTCCGTATTGTGCTCCCTGTTGCAGGTCATGGACCCAAGAGGGAAGGCTGTGTGGAAGAAGTAAACGGATGCCTCTGACAGTGGTGCTACCGTGAGGGCTTTGGTTTCTTCGACCACAGCGCACACTTCAGGGAACGGTGCAGCACTTTCTAGCAGGCAATATGACCTGGTAGGGATCACAGAGACCTGGTGGAATTCCTCGCATGATTGGAGCATAGCCGTAGAGGGCTACACCCTGCACAGAAGGGATCAAGCAGGGAGAAAAGGCAGAGGGGTAGCTCTCTATGTGAGGGAGCAGGACACTTCTCTGGAGGCTGACATTGACTTCAAAGATAAGCAGCCTGAAACACTCTGGATGAAGCTTTGGGGGAGCGAGGTGAGAGAGACCTAACTGTAGGCATTTACTACAGGCCATGGAACCAAGGGAAGGAGCTTGATCTGGAGTTCTCTCAGGAACTGACAGGGGCTGCGCATGCAAGGGACTTGGTTGTCATGGGCGACTTCAATTACCCAGACATAGATTGGGAGGAACACTCAGCTAGGTCAGGCCAGTCATGTAGCTTCTTAACTGTAATCAAAGAGCACTTTCTGACCCAGGAAGTCCAAGTCCCACCAGAGGTACCAAGACCAAGTCTTGGCCAAAGGGAATGATCTGGTGTATGGCTTGATCATTGAGGGTAGCCTGGGCAACAGTGACCATGAGCTCATCAGGTTCACTGTCTGCCGCAAGGTTGACAAACCAACTAGCAGGATTGAAGTCCTGGACTTCAAAAATGCTGACTTCAATAGGCTCAGGGCATTAGTAGGGGAGGCGAAGCGGGACCAGGGATGGAAGGCGGATGGGCTGCATGAAGAGTGGTCGTTCCTCAAGGACATGAGGAACAAAAGAAAACCGTTCCCATGAAGAGGAAAGGTAGCAGAAGGACTGGCAAGCCCTCCTGGCTCAATAGGGACATTGCAGTCCTCTTGAAAAAGAAAAGAGGCATACACACAGTGGAAGCTAGGGACAGTCCTCAAAGAGGACTATACAACAGTGGTCTGCACTTGTAGAGAAATGATTAGGAAAGCTAAGGCAGCAACTGAGTTTAAGTTAGTCAAGGGAGTCAAGGACAATAAGAAACCCTTCTTTAGGTATGTAGCGAGCAGAAGGAAAACAAATGGAAGTGTGGGACCCCTGCTTAACACCTCAGGACAGCTGGTAATGGATACTCAGCAAAAAACTGAACTCCTGAATGCCCACTTTGCTTTGGTATTTCACCGGACCAAGGGAAAAGACAAGCAAGATAAGGATCACAGGGGCATGGCGGGAATGATAGCCTTCCCACTGTGGATGCTGAGCTGTTATAAAACCAACTAGAAAAGCTAAACATTTATAAGTCAGCAGGACCAGATGGACTTCACCTGAGTGCGGAGGGAGCTGACTGAGGTCATTGCGGAACCCCTGGCAAAACTCTTTCAGAAATCATGGCAGACAGGGGAGGTCCCTGAGGATTGGAAGAGGGCCAACATTGTGCCCATCTTCAAGAAGGGGAAGAGGGAGGACCTGGGCAACTATAGGCCAATCAGCCTAACCTCCATCCCAGGGAAAATCCTGGAAAAACTCATTGAAGAATCTATGTGCGATACGCTCATTGAGGGTAAGATGCATGAGCATGGCTTTGTTGTGGGTAGGGCTTGTCTTACCAATCTCATCTCCTTCTATGAACAGGTCTCTCACCACCTGGACATGGGAGAGAAGGTCAACATTATATACCTAGACTTCCAAAAGGCTTTTGATCTAGTGTCCCATGATATCCTTGTGGAAAAATTGGAAGATTGTGGGCTTAATTACTCAACTGTTCAGTGGGTGTAAAACTGGCTGCATGGTAGAACCCAGAGAATTCTCATGAACAGATCTGTATTGTCCTGGCAAGAAGTGGCCAGTGGTGTCCCTCAGGGGTCCGTGCTTGGACCAGTGCTTTTCAACATCTTTATCAATGATTTGGATGTGGGGTTGAAAAGCTCGCTGGCCAGGTTTGTGGATGACACCAAGTTATGGAGGAGCGTGATCATGCCAGAAGATAGGTTGCAGATATAGGTGGACCTGGACAAGATGGAGAGCTGGGCAGACCAGAACCAGAACCAGATGAAGTTCAACACTCAGAAATGTAAGGTGCTCCATCTGGGGGCAAACAATCCCCAACATACCTACAGGCTTGGTGGTGACAATTTGACTTGCACTACAGCCGAAAGGGACCTAGGGGTAGTAATTGACCATCACATGAACATGAGCCAGCAGTGTGACTACTGCGTCCAGTTCTGGGGGCCGCACTTCAACAAGGACATGGAAAAACTTGAGAGGGTCCAGAGAAGAGCCACCCGTATGATCAGGGTTTTGCAATACAAGCCGTACAAGGAGAGGCTGAGGGACTTGAGTCTCTTCAGCCTACAGAAGAGAAGGCTGAGAGGGGACTTGGTAGTGGCTTACTGCTGCATCAGGGGAGTACATGAAGAACTAGGTGAAGAGCTGTTCACCATGGCACCCCTGGGGAAGACCAGGAGTAATGGATACAAACTCCTGGAAGGCTGCTTCAGGCTCAATTCCAGGAAAAACTGCTTCACAGCCAGGGTGTCCAGATTGTGGAATAAACTCCCTCCAGTGGTGGTGCAGTCACATACCCTGGAAATCTTTAAAGGAGACTGGACAGTCACCTCAGTGGGGTCACTTGACCCCAGTTGTCTTTTCTTGCCTAGTGCAGGGGGACTGGACCCGATCTTTTACAAGGTCCCTTCCAGACCCTAAATCTGTGAAACTATGAATCCAGACAATGCCACTTCTGGGCATGTGCTGGGCTTGGTGTGGGAGCACACTATGTTTAAAGTGCCGATATTTTTTCCATGTCTGCAAGCAGTCTTACTGTTTTCTCAGGTTGATTTTCAGGTAACCATGAATAACTATAAATACTATAATATTTAAAACAGAAAATGCTAAAGTTAATGAACTCAGAACATTACTACGATCATGTTAATATTGCAACAAGTTTAAAACAGAACCACTCAGTCTTTTATTGTCTGTTATTTGTCTGTTATTTGGCTAAAAGGAAAATATTCTTAAATGATGCTAGAAATTAACTTGTAATACAACTGATAATTGTTAGGTTTGTATGCAGACATTTCTGATACAGCAAAAACCTTTCAATTTAAGCCCTGTGAATCTTGAAAGATGGTAATGCCTCCCAGTGCACAACAGCACAAAACCTCCATGTCTTACTCAAAAGCCATTTGTCTGAATAAATTCCTTCCATACCATTCCAGGCAGACAACAAAAATCCTTGTGCATTGCTATGACTTTGGTTTAGAGTAAGGGATGGCACTTCTCTCTCCATTTTACCAATAATGGAAAATATGCTTTATCAGTAAGTGGAATAAGATAGTCTTGTGATTAAAGCACAGGAAAAAACATCAAGAAGCGCAGATTCTATTCCTAGCTTTCCAAATGTGGGGCAAGCCACCTAGACCAAATTTTGAAATGTGTACCTCGTTTTTTACATAGCCAATTTTAGATGCATACAGCATGCTGAACACTTGGGCTGATTCAAATTTTCAATGTGCTGAACATCTTGGGCTGATTAAAAAAGGATTTCTGAGGACTAGTCACACTGTAATCAGAATTCACATGCCTTTTTTTCTCATGTGTTGCCCAAGTGTTTAAGGGCATGTGAAGATCTATGCACTTCGGCCAGTAACTATCTGCTCCTATGCTTAGGCATGAGTGTTCTTTTGTGATTAATTAAATAACTATTACACTTGCTCACAACATCAGCCATTTTAAGATACATGTGCATAACACACCCATTTGGCCCAGTTTCCTAGATGAACCTAGATTACAAATAGCCAGACTAAATAACCCAGACTACAAATGTCAGATGATGACCCTCATGAACTGTTTTTAGCAATCTCACTAGATTCTTAGCAATCAACCCTAACATAAGCATGCAAGTAAGTGTTCTCATGATTTTGGTGAATTTATGTTCTTTTTGGAGTGTTTTCTGATGGCCAGATTGGGTGGTAATTCCAAGGATAGCATGGGCTGTTTGTAAATTTGGCCTGGCCACCTACAGAAGATTGTTTTTTTTTGCAGCTAGACATGACTCTAAGATAGTGCATGTGTCCTTGTGTTTCCAAGGGCATCTCTTTGAAGCAGTTGCTGACTGTAGCAATTGTTTCTAAAAATTAGTAGTGTGTGGGAGGCATCTGAGTTCATGTTTTCAAGGTCACAAATAAAATGATACTGAATGTTTCAGAAGCATTTGAAACTGCAGTTGAACAAAAAAGACACAAAGTTTAGCACTCATGAAATAAACACATCGCACACCAGGAAAGTTTGTAACCGCTGGCCAATATAAAAATATGTATCTGTGTAGACAGACAGACAGACATAGATAAGGATATTGTTCAACTGCTATAAACCAACTCTTGGTGTGAGATTATATATTAGTCAAGCTGGCTTTTCTGGGAGATAAGTGCCATGTGGCCACTTGTTTTTCCCCAAAGAAGGGAGGGAATCCATGAAAGAAAGAACTGTAAACAAGTAAAATTGGAAAGGATATGAGAACCATGCAGGAAAAGTAATGAGACAATGTAGATGTGAAAACTGCTGTTTACAACCTTCCTCAAGAGAGAACTTTGCTATCATTTATAGAGGCATTCATACTATACACAATACGAATCACTGCCTACATGTTTGTCTAATTCCAATCTATGTGTCCATATCAATGCAGGGGTTTACCCTACTGAATCCCCACTATCAGGAATGTACAATTCAAGACTCCAAAGGAGAGAGGTGGGATCTCAGATGCACTTCCTCTTCTGCACTTCCCTTCATAGCATGGTAGCTGCTGTGAACCTTGAGGTCTCCATTCCAAGTATGGTGCCCCAGGGCACGTAACTCTTCCTTTTGAAATCTGCTTATGGGAACATACAACTAAATGATAGATGAGGCAATGAACAGCACTGCTGAAGCTTAAATGCCAGACCCTACCACGCAAAGACCCTATTTCAGAAAAAAAACCCCAAAACACACATACACAAATTTAAATCCCTCCTAGCTCAGAACAGCACTTCATTGTATATATAAATTTAACCATGAGCCAGGTTCAGAAAGGCATCTAGATACAGTGATCCTGTGTTTTCTTGCCTAAAATTTAGTGTGTGAACCCTTTAAGCACACAAATGGACCTCTTTAGCACTCAACTCTGATCAGACTACTCAGCCCACTCATCCCTACTGATTTTGGTTAAAAATGGAGACACAAGATTTCACAAATATCATGCTATTTTTTTAACTGTCAGTCATGAACAGACCATATACCAAAGTGGAGTTAGATGGTATGCAAAGAAGGGCCTTGGCTACAATAGTCCAGCTTGACTAATAGAAGCAACCTAGTGTGATTTTCTAAGTTCTCTACACAAACAAAATAGTGTTATACTGTATTATGGATTTTTATTTGAAATCTTTGAGTTTATCTTGTGAATCAATCGTGTAGGTATTAGCAATATTGTGCCATGCCTTGTGTCAACCTTAATAGGATCTTACAGCACCCCACAGTGATGTTTTCTTTTCTTTTTTGGCTGAGGTCTGAAGATTGGACTTTTACTTCAAAGATACTCTCAGAAAGAAATTCTAGGCAAAACATCCCATCATACATCATATACGAAAATTCATTTCTGATTACCTTTCTTTTTTTAGCATTTCCACTTCTTCTTCTCTCTGTCTAAGAAGATTTTTCATTGTTTGTAGTTCACTCTCTAAACAATTAGTCCTTATTTTTAGCTCTTCTCCTTGCCTCTCTTTCTCAGTCACTTCTTCCTGTAAATGACTGCATACTTGTTGGCAAACTAGCAAAGACTCTTCTTTTTCTTTTAAATCATTAGTAAGCCTAAAAATAAATTTAAAGAAATTACCAGGACATAGTAGATACTGTGTTTATTTATAGGTGGGAACTAAATTTCCTGAACGAATGTTTGCTTGGAAAAAAAAGATGACAAAATACCAAAAAAGCAAAAGCACAGTAAGAAGAAAACTGGAAACACCTTTGTGAAGTCAGAGCCAGTCACCCACCCACACACACAGAGCAGCACTTTCCCCGCTACCCCACTCCAGGTGAAGGTAGGAGGAGTGGTGCCCAGCCCAGCCTGCCCCTCCCACCTCCAACCCCTGCTAGAGCTGGACTGGGCAGTGTGGGTGGCTCTGCCTCCCCACTGGACTGCACCCCATGGCCCTGCCCACCTGACTTTGCCTGCAGCAGCACTGCTGACTTCAGGGAGGGGTGGAGCTACTGGGGGTGGGGGAGCCAAAATACAATTTCACCCAGGACTCCATTATTCCTAAGGCCAGCTCTGTGTGAACTTAACCGAGCGATCATTCAAATACAGAAATAAAAAATACATAAACTAAAAGTAATAAACATGCTGATCATATATGACAATTATTAAAGCAATAAAATACAAATAATTTGCTCTGTATATAATGTATAAATGATTTCGAAATTTACCTTGATTGTGAAATGTCATTTGCATGCTCCAGTTTTTTTAGTTCACTTTGGTAGCTGTCAACTTCTGTTGTTTTCATTCTAAAACATAAAATTGTTGATAAAGCCTATATGTAATAGGAAATGAAGCCTTTATTCAGAAAAAAACCTGTGAAATTAATGTATTCATTTGTTATTCGATTCCTATTTTTTATTTTAATATCAAGAAAAAAAAACTTTTCTAGGCAGCTGTTTCTCTCTCTCTCTCTCTTTATATATATATATATATATATATAGCTGCTTGTCTCTACTCCTGTAGCTTGGACCTTCTGGGTGCATCTACACATGCAATTAGCACACAGAAATAAACTCTAGCGCAGTTCTCACTGGAGTTTTATTTCTTCTGGGCACAGCATTTACATGTGCATCTACAACTGTAGCATGTTGAGCTGGGGCAGAGCAGGCCTGGGCTAGCAGGGGCCCCAGAGGTCTGCCTGCCAGCCCGGTGCTGCTCCACCCCAGCTTAATGTGCTGTGGAGAAACTGGTTGGGGCATGAGGGTGCTACAGTGTGGGGCTAGCCAGCAGACACTGTAGCACCCTCATGCCCCAGCCAGCCCCAGTCATCATCTACCCATGCGTTCTGGCACAAAAAATGACATTGCTGTCCTCCTGGATACAAAAAATCATGGACTAAATATAGACATTGGATTTATGACATTATAGCCTGCCTAATGTCTGACCCCCCAGATACCTCTCCACTTTTTACCTGCTACATTCATTCCCCTTTCCCCCCACCCCAGTCTCTCTCTCACCCACTGACTCCCCAATTTACATCTTCACTGACTGGCTTTCTTGCATGCAGACCAGCCTCTGACTTCTTTACTACTCATTCCAACCAGCATGCACTGACTGCAGATGCTTCCTCAGCCTGATGAAAGGTATTCAAACCCGAAAGCTTGCTAAGAAGAATTTTTCTTCTTAGCAAGCAAGTTGATTTAATAAAAGATATCAGATTTACCCAAAGAACCTTGTCTGCCTATTGTCGTGGGATAGTACTTGTCCCTGGAAGTACTATCCTACAGCAGAGTTAATTAATTGACTTTGCCCTAATATGCGCGCATGTGTAGACAGTGACGCTTTCCTGAGGAGCTAAGTAGTCAACTCTGTGGTACAGCTCGTGTGCAGATGTACCCCCAGATTCTTCAGGGGACTAAAAGTAACATCACAGAAGTTACAACCTTTATTGACACCCATATGACCTTATCACAGGATCATAGGAAAGTAAGGCTGGAAGGGACCTCATAAGATCTTGTCCAGGCCCCTGCTCACGACAGGATAGTCCCTGACTCAATCATTCCTGCCAAGTGTCCGTATAACCTGCCTTTGAAAGTCCAAGGATGGAGAATCTACAACTTCTCTAGGAAGTTTGTTTTGATGCCTGACTACCCTCATAGTTACAAAGTTTCTTCTAATCTCCAACCTAAATTTCCCCTGCTGCAGCTAGAGGCCATGGCTCCTAGTCCTGTCCCCTACAGCCACAAAGAAAAGCCTACCTTCATCCTCTCTATAAGGTATTTGAAGACTGTTATCAAATTTCCCTTCAGTCTTCTCTTTTCTAGGCTAAATAACCCTAGTTCTTTTACCTTTCCTCATAAGTCTCATCTCCCAGGCCCATGATCATTTTTGTTACCCTCTTTCCAAGCTGTCCACATTCTTCTTGATGTGTAGGGCCCAAAACTGGACAACAGTACTCCATGTGAAGCCTCACCAGTGCTGAATAGAGCAGAAGAATCACTTCTCTTGATTTGCAAGTGACTCTTCTGTTAATACAACACAAGATGCTGTGGGCATTTTTTTTCCTCAGCAAGAGCACACGGTAGCCTCATATTTTGCTTACAGTTCAGCATAACCCCCTGGTCCCTTTCTGCAGTACTGCAGCCTTAGCAGTTGTTCCCCAGTCTGTATTTGTGCATGTGGTTATTCTGTTGCAAGTGCACTTTGCACTTGTCCTTATTAAATCATATCTGATTGACTATGGGCCTTTTCTCCACTCTATCAAGGTCATTCTGGATCTTAGACCTGCCCTCCTGATTGTCCACAATTCCACCCAAATTTGCTAAGTGTGCACTCAATCTCATTAGCCAAATCATTAATGAAGATGTTGAACAATACCAGGCCTGGGACTGACTCCTGGGGAACTGCACTTGGTATCTTCCCTCTAACTAGACACTGAGCCATTGAGTACTACTGGTTGAGCATGATGATCCAACTTCAGTGCCAATCACACTTACCCAGAAGTGCCAGCAGCTGGGATTGGCTGTGGTGGGGACTCCCCCTTCCCCCCCGACCCGGTTGGCAAGATCAGCC